GATTGGATTAAAAAACTGTGGTGTAGACATAGCTCTTCTAGCTATTTATCTACCCATTTAGGCCTCCAAAAGATAATTGAATTAAGTTCGCTGCCTTTTCATTTCATTTTTCCATGAACTTTTTGTGACACCCTCATACACACACATATACACACAATCCACACACACCTAAAGCTCTATATTAACTGCATATAGTTATCGTCAAATATAATGTTATTTTCATAGCATTACATTGTATTTTTCATAGTATTTCATTACATGGATGTATCATCATGGACTCTGAGACATTTTTACATTTCCATGATTACAAAAGGAAAATCAGTTACACATTTTCTTGAATGTAGAGATTTTTCAATAGAAATGTAATTGTTCAGTAAAAATAGATAAGTATTAATACTTTCCATAAATTTCAGTAAATCGTATCAATAGATGTAGTATTAGTTTATTTATTCACTAATTATTTTTGAAAGTGAAGTTTCCCCCTCCTTCACAAAATCATTGTCAAATTATCTTACCATTTTCAATTTTTAAAATACACCAGAGGGCTTCAAAATTCCATTATATTTTCATTCCATTTTCCCATGAAATTTTTGAAGCATTTTCATATATGCTGCTATTAAGAGTGAGGTGTACTACGTATTTTCCTGTGTTTAAGAATCATTTATATTCCCTTTTATGTGAACTTCCTGTTCTTCAATTTGACTGTTTTATATGGAATTATCAAAAAGTTTGTCATTGCTATGATGATTTGATGAAGTTGCCAATATATTAAGAAGAAGTATTCATTGGTTTATAATCTGATTAATAATTGTATCAGATTATTATTATATTTTTGGTTGTTTGTTCTTCTATCAGTATGGTCTTCTTTGAATTGCGGGTTTGGATCACATGAGAAAAGCCTTCCGCATGCTGTAATTGCAAAAATAAACCTGTGCCCTGTTCTCTAGAGTTCGAAGGGACTGACAAATATAGTCTTTACCCTGGGCAGCCAATGTCCATCTAAAATTTACATAATTAAAAATTTTCTAAATTTTAGATTGAAATTGGCCATCCGGGATAAATCCATTATTTCTTCATTACATTTTCCACAAACATTTTGTGGTTCTCTTACACCAAAGGCCTTATATCATCAAGTAACGTGAATTCATAGAGCTAAAATTCACCATGCAGTTTATCAACTTTTTAAAAGTAAATAGTCCAAACATTTATAACATCATGTTCCTGAGAACCTTTTGCAATGAAGGTAAAAGCATAATAAGGATAGTAAAATTCAGAAAGTCTTCAAAACCAAGCTGCGTGTTACATTTCCCAGCAGGAACTTGAGCGGGATCAGCAGGTATGACCATCGTGGGATGTATTTCCAGCAGTGTGTCAGTCGATGTTGACACAGGACCTGCAACAATAGGCCCAAACCGAGCAGCAACAGGAGCAGTGTTTCCCTCTGTGGTTTCTCGGGTTGCTATGAGTTGTAACACACTTGACAGTAGCTGACAGCAGCGATGATTGAGTATTGCTACAGAAACAAGGTGTAAACTACTCTTTCCTGCAGTTTTTCGAATGGTCACTTGGCTCTGACTCACCTGCAAGCTGTTTTGTTCTCTTGAGTAAGAAAGAAAGGTATAGTATTACAGTGACCTTCTCAGAATTGTTTCAACCTTTGGGGTCCCCCTCAGAGTAAGGCAAGCATGGGCGTATCGCCTGTTACATCTGTGAGAGCAGAGAACCTGGGGAGCCGACGGCATCCGGTGGGCACTGCTGTGATCAGCTCACTGCGTTGTTCCCCTCCTTCTGTCTCATGCTGACGGAGAGGAGGTTTGTTTTCTGGATTTACTAAGCTTCAGACATAAAGCCTTGGTGTTTAGTTTGTTTTTTCTTTGATGATCTCTCTGTATTCGTTAAAGTGTTTCAGATTACATCAATTGGAGTTATAAAGCCTTATTTATAAATTACTGGGATTGACAAACTTAAGATGGATGAAACCCATCAAAACTGGTGCCACCTAATTATACATAGGAGAAAATATGGACTTTTGAATGTAGTGCCACACATGTGACAATAATAAAAATCATCTCAAGAATTGAAAGGAGAGCTGAAATAGGAGAGAGAATTAAGGGTTTATGTAAACGAGTTAATATTTTTACTAGGGAGTTGTAGTTTGCATTCATAAATAGGTTCATGGGGAATTTTCAAACATTAATGCCTGTGGGAAAAGCCATTGAATTCGTTCATCTGTTTTCCAAACTTTAAACCACAAAAGGTAGTTTTGATTAAAAGGTTACTGATTAATGAAAAACACAACAAAAAAGTTAATGAGCTGGAGTGGCTATTTGTCTATCAAACACTACATTGAAAGAGCTGATTGAATTCTGTGTTCTTTTGATAGGCTATTAAAGCTTGCACTCAAACACAAACTAGCTCCCTAGAGCATCTGTTGCTCTACATTTAGGTCACTTGGATATAAGATAATCATCCTGTGGTAGTTATAAAATCATTTGTCAATTTGAGGATTCAGAGTGAATGGGTGGAGTTTAGTCTGTCAATCAGATCATAGACAATGAGGCCTCTGTGTGGACTTGACTTTCTCCTGAGAATTCTGAAAAATCTGGTTTTGCCTCCTTGGAGGTGGGAGAGACTCTCTGCTCACTCCCTGGGAAACATTGCAGCTGATCAGACACATGGAACTACACTAGTGCCCTGAGCTGGAGGAGCCAAACAGACCTACCCTGACACAGCCAGACCTCTGAAGCCAGAGAAGCCATAAAGAGACCCGGGCCAGTGCTGAGATGTTTACACCACCACTGGATCCAAAGACTTTCTACCCACTGGCCTGTGATCGTCCTGCATTGGGCATCATTGCATGTGTTTCTTGAGTCTGAAGAGGACTTTATTGATTGGTATCAGACATATGGGCTAATATTGGGCTTATGGGCTTAGACCAGACTGGGTTAGAATGCTTTCTTAATTTACAATTACCCTTTATATAAAACTGTCACATATGAGTTTCTACTGATTTGTTTCTCTAGTCTACCCGGACTAAAGCACATCACTTCCTACTTTTAAAAGAGGCTAGCTTCTTAAAAGTTTTGGTGAAATAAATATTCAGGATTTTAGACCCATGTGAGCTCACAAAAAGAGTGGGAAGGCGGGGAGGAAGGAAAAGGACAATATAATGTAAGAAGTTGGCTTAAATACCATTAACTTTTCTCTCTGACAACTTCTTATCTATCGTGACTTCAGATTATACTTTATATTTAAAAGATGAAGAAAGAGATATGGCATCACAAGTAACCTTAAAGTTCTGAAGATCACTATATTTTTACAATTTATACTATAAATTAGCTAATAAATCATGTTGCTACATTGGGAAGATGCATTAAGCTTTAGAGAACACTGTGATATTAACTATTGCTCAGAATCATTCAATCCTACAGTGTCCATATGTGTTTTATATTAAACCATTAATCATAAAGGAGCCATGTTACTCTAGGAAAAAGGTGACCTACAACTTTTGCTGCCAAGGGAGACGCCATGATTAGACATTCATTCCTTGGCCTCCTGGGTCTCCTTTAGAGTGCACCAATCCTCTCCTGCTCTCTTGTCCTCACAGTTTTGTTGCCCACATTTTAGGACACTACTTAACCAGCTATCAGGGCCAGGCTGCCTTCAAGGGTGCCCTGGTCCTTTCCCATACCAATCTGTGATGCTTACATAATGAAATGCTACTTTTCAAGACCGTTTCACAAGCGATCCTCAGGGAGGGAAGGGCTAACTTTTGGGGATGGATGGTTTCTTTCAGGTTGGGTTTAATAGACTGGTAAGAGGCTAGGAACAAGAGAAATGCCTGGTAATTTTGTACACAGCTATAGCCCACATGCTTCTGAACAAAGTCAGAATGTCCATTTGCAGACCCACATATAATGGGCTGCAGAATTGAATAAACACACAAGGTGGGTAGAGTGGAACAGTGAGCCCAAGATCATCTCTAGGACTTGCCGCAAGGTCTATTGTGCTCACCGGTATGTGAAATTAGGTCTTCTCTAGCCACGGTAGGAAGACACATTCATTTTCTTACTTTTCTCCCTAATCAACCTCCTGCAAACTAGCTTTCTCCCCAATATCTATCAAAAAATCCTCCCAAAATCGATTTGATATAACTTATTACTATTTTCTTTTTCATTTTCCCTGCTATCTCAGTGACTCTTGACCATACTGATGATTGCTGTGTTAGTCTGGCAGCACATATACTAAAACTGGAACCATGCAGAGAAGATTAGCATGGCCCCTGCGCAAGGATGACATGCAAATTCGTGAAGAATCATCATTCCCGTTGAAACATTGTGAAGTCTGCATCCACAAGCAAAGTCAAATCCAGACAGGCTATCTATAAAGTCAGCAACAATATGCACCAGTTCATAGGCTCAACATTCTCCATCTGGTTGGGTTCTGGTCAACTCAATGTGGGCTGCCTCATTTAGCCTCCTCAGGGTACCTATTGGTCACCTTGCCTTTAGACCATGGGCTCTCACCAATACTCAACAAGCCTAGCCGCTTGTGCTAGGTCATGAACTTTAGACCTCTTTTTCCTATAAACCAAGTCCACAGGTGTCAGTGGCCAAACTCAACTTGTCTCTTTATTGCTGCATTTCTCCTACTTCCACTCAACAAGTAGATCCAGGTGGTCACCTAGCAAGCATCTCAGTCTGCTCACAGGCTCACTTTACCATTCAGTCCAAGAGGGGAATTTTCTTTATGGTTCCAGATTTTTTTCCAACTTCTGACAAAGTGTATTAGTCTAGGTACTTTGGAGAAACAAATCCATAGCAACTCATGTATAAGAGAGAGTTTTATGTAAAGAAAATGTGCATCATGAAAACATCCCAACCCAATGCTGCCCAAGCCCACAAGTCCCAACATTAACCCATTAACCCAACACCAGTCCACAAAGTCCTCCACCTCACAAAACAGAGGCAATGATGCCGACTGCAGGAGGAAAGCTGAGTCAGTGAACGAACAAGCATCCCAGCACTAGCAGGAGTCTCCACAAGGCTGCTCCAGCACCCAGGGCTGCATCGGAATAGGTCCATGTAGCTTCTTCTTGGGGATGTCTTGTAGGAAGTCAATCTTGCAAGCTGAAGCAGGGAACTGCTAAGGCAGCTGCACCCGGTACAACCATCACAAAGCAAGAGACCCGAGAACTAGAAAGGCGAGGCTCACCACCCATTTATCCCTCCACCTTTCAATTAGCCCCACATGATTATCGGCCAGGCTGGCACAATTAACTAACTCACAAAGCCATTGGTTCCTGAGTAGCCCAAAGCAGTGGGTGGGGCATATCTTTCTCTGCATAGCTTTCTTTGCAGGCATATCCTAAACCTGTCCAAAGATCAAATTTTAATGGCTGAAAGCAAGTGGGCTTACAAACTTTCTATTTCCATACTTCCCATATTTTTCCCAGAAAACAACTGAGTAAACAGTGTGCTTTATCTGACTTCTGGCTGGACAAAGAAGAAAAACTACCATGAGGGAGAGGTCAAACAAACATCTACTCTCCATCTAATGATCTGTTTCTCAGTACCCCAATCCTAAGGTACCATAATGTGTTATTCTGGGTATTTTAAAGAAACAAATCCACAGAAACTCATGTATAAGAGAGAGCTTTATAGAAAGGTTAAGTATATATCAAGAAAACATCCCAACTCAGTGCTGCCCAAGCCCACAAGTCCAACATTAGCTCATTTGTCTGACCCAATCCATAAAGTCCTCCTTCATCTCACAAAACACACCCAATGACACAGACTGCAGGAGGAAAGCTGAATCAGTGAGCGTGTAAGCATCTCAGTGCTGGCAGGGGTCTCCACATGGCTGCCCCAGCACCCAGGGCTGCATCAGGGCAGGTCCATGCGGCTTCTCCTTGGGGATGTCTTGCAGGAAGTGAGCCTTGCCAGAAGAAGCAGGGAACTGGCTAAGGCAGCTGCACCCTGGTTCAATCATCAGAAAGCAAGAGACCAGAGAACTAGAAAGGCAAAGCTCACTAAGCCATTTATCCCTTTGCCCTTCAATTAACCTCACATGTGTTTATCAGCCAGTTTGGCACAATAAACTAACTACCTCAATTGCTTTTGCCACATTTTATTGCTAAAGAATCAAGTACGTGATGTCACTACTAGAATCAAGTATATAATGTTAAATCTGACAATCCCATCTTTATATTAAACTGTTTTAGATAAACTATGCTAAATGAGGTGCTTGGCAAGTTATTTATTTTCAAAGGAAATAAGTTTAACCAAATGAAATTATTTTCCAATCCTATGTCCACATCAAAGGGATAAAATACTCCAGTTATTAGAGATGAGGAAAGGATTTTTGAAATGTAATTTTGGAGTGAGATACTTGTGTTCTGTTGAGACTAGTTTATTATAATTGGTGAACAGAATTCTGAAGGTAGAGGTTAAATAATTACTTGATTTCCACAAATAGATAATGTACCTTCTTTACTGAAAAAAAAATGTATAGAGATTCAGTGAAACCAAAGAAGAGAGAGCTCAGTGAAAGAAATTATCCCAAGAACACCCAAAAGCACTCATAAAACCAACTCCACTTAATAACCTCCCAAGATCAGAAAGTCAATGCTAGTGAACTGAGAGCTGTCACTCAGATACGACCTTTCTTCCCCTCTGTCCTCTCTCTGCTTCTTGCACTTCATTTGTGGAAGGGTCAGAAACCTTGAAGAGCCAATGGGAATAAGGGTACAGAAGCAGTAGGCCAAGAGAAAAAGAAGCTGCCAAGAGTATTCCCTCACTTCCCACTTTACTTTCCCCAGCTTCTAACAGTACCTCTACAGAAGAGAAAATGGGTATTTAAAAATATCTTTACAGAATTTTTACATTATAATTACTACCTTAAAATGTTTTCTATGACCTCAGAGTCAACATGTAAGTTATAGAGACTGGCAGAGGAAAGGATGTGTGCCACTGAGAAAATGTAAAGCAATAATGCAAGACAAAAGTGCTATATGCTCATTTCTACCAATTAGGCTTGTTTTATGAGTTTAAGTGTGTTCCTCCAAAATGTCGGTCAACCTGGCTAGGCCTTGATTCTTGGTATTATGTCCTTATGCTCCATTTTGTGATTTGATGTAATTGTCATATGTGTTATAAAATGACTTTGGTGGCTTAGTGGATTACGTATTGGGCTGCTGACCACAAAGTCAACTTGAACCCACAAGACACTTCCTGAGAGAAAGATGAGGTTTTCTGTTCCAGTAAAGAAACCACAGGGGCAGTTCTCCTCTGTCCTATAGAGTCATTATGAGTCATAATTGACCCAATGGCAGTGAGTTTGAATTTGATTTTATGATGTTAATGAGGCCGGATATAATTTATAGGATTAGGCTGTATCTTGAGTGGATTTCTTTCTCTGACAGTTGTGTAGGGAGGTTTTTCATTTCCTTTCAACATCCGTGGACCTAGGGTAAGGTTGAGATCTATAACAATCATACCCTGATTTTGGGAGGTCCTCACTGCAGGGATCCTGTGTCCAAAGGATGGGCTCTACTCCCAGTTCTTTATAAGTGGTAGCCAGGCCCCTCTCTCACTTTTTACTTTTCGCTTATTTTACCTCATGTGAGAGTTTAAAAAACTACCTTTCATTGGATCAATGTTATTGAATCCTAATGTATCCACTTAAAATGCATTGGCTATTCACATATGGGGGCTGATTATATTATTGCATAGTTCTCATATCACTGAAAATCATAGTCCTACCAAGTGGAAACATATTTTATGGGGACAATTCCATCTGTGATATCTGCCAATGATAAACATACTCACATACATCCTCTCTCTGTCTTCCTCATAAGAGCTGTAGCCTTTATCTGTTTTCAGAGATTTAAATTACTCCATTCCCCCAAGTGATAGTTAATGTTTGGTGTGAACTTGACTGGGCCAGGATTCTTGGTGATTTGACAGTTAACACCTAATGATCCTCCATCATTTAACCCAACAAAATAAAACCACAGTCAATCTATTGTAAAAAGATTAGGGTGGGATGCAACACCCTTATTCGAATCATATCCCTTTTGCAGTCAGCTGAAAAGAAATGTCCATCACAGTATGGCCTGCTTCCAGGATAAGTCGACTCGGTTGGAAAAATTGCTTCCTTTTTGCCTGGTCTAAATCATTGACCTATCATTCTTTGGACTTTGCCAATTGGATGTTATATTGCCTAATGATCCTAAAAACTGTCAGCAGCCTGCCATCCAATCTTGAAGTCATTGTCTTCTACAGTCACAGGCCTGACACAATGACCTTGACATAATGACCTTGTATTCATTACCCGTAGGCAGCCAGCAGCCTATGGTCTTCCAGACAGTCCTGGGTTCATCAGCACCTGCAACTGCTTAAGTTAGAAGTCTATAGTCTCACATCTGACCCATGCTCTTGGAATTTATTAGGATTTGGACTCGCCTTCTTCTATACTGTGTGAACCATTTTCCATACATGGATTTATCTCTCTATGTACATATTCAAGTAAAACTGGCTTTGATTCTCTATTGTATCCAACTCAAGACATCCCCATAACCTAATATTGGCCCTTTTTGTCCTGATGTGCATCTGATTTTGCAAATGGAATCTGAAGAAGTGCACAAGACATATTACTTTCAAAACCAGATTTTACGATCATGCTGGAGCTTGCTTTTAATTAGAGGGTATCTAAGATAAATGGAAGAAAAATGATGACATCAAAGATTTGAATAGAATATTTCAAAGAGTAGCTTTAGAAGACAAATCCAAATGTTACAATGAAATGTGCAAAGACCTAGAGTTAGAAAACCAAAAGGGAAGAACACACTCAGCATATCTGAAAATAGAAGAACTGAAGAAAAAGTTCAAGCCTTGAGTTGCAATCTTGAAAGCTTCTATGGAAAAATTATTGAATGATGCATAAAGCATCAAAAGAAGATGGCAAGAATACACACAGTCACTGTACCAGGAATAACTGGTTGACATTCAACCATTTCAGGAGGTAGCATAGGAACAAGAGCCAATAGTACTGAAGGAAGAAGTTTAAGCTGCACTGAAAGCACTAGCCTAAAGCAAGTCTCCAGGAATTAATAGAATACCAGCTGAAATGTTTAACAGGCTGTTGAAGAACTGGAAGAATTTACTAGTCTACATCAACTGACTGAAAAAGATTCATAATTTTACCTATTGCAAAGAAAAATGACACAACAAAATGCTCAAATTATAAAACAATATCATTGAGATCACATGCAACCAAAAGTTTGCTGAAGCTTATTAAAGAGTGGTTGCAGAAATACATTGGGAG